GCATTTGGTTCCTGAGAAAACTAGCAATGCTACATTATTTTACGACCATTCTTTTCAAATTCATCTAAATGTTTTTGTGGGATGATGGCCCAAGAGGACTTCGTTTTCCACCGCCGCTGCTGTTTCTCCTTCATTCCCACTACACTTTGCATTCCCAAACAACCAACTCACCACCCAAGCCTGCGTCAGTGTTCCCTGACTCACAATGCTGCCAAGAACACACCCACAGAGGCCACATGCACCCAAAGATGCACAAACATGCACACAACAGCATCACCACCATACAAACTTTTATGAGACTTGGCAACAGTTCCATCTTTTCCTGATCTGGTGACCTGCAGATACATTTCCTCTTTCCACCACCAGCACCAAACATCCAGGAAGTGTGTATCCAGCTTGCAACAACCTGGAGCCAAGGCCTCTGGGGTGTTTTCTTATGGTTATAAATGTTGTCTGAGAGTTTGTACATCTCTTGCTGCTCGGGGTAAAGTCAACAGCTCTGGAGGTCATTCATTAATCTGCAATGCCTGGACTGACATGTGCAAAGGGGCCAGACTGCCTGCGACCTCAATCTATGATACCACAGGGACTGTGTGAGAGAGAGAGACACAGACAGAGAAAACTGCCGCTACACAGTTCTCTCATGTTCTTTGTTGTCTCTTTCCATCTATCCCTCTTTTTATCAACATTTGCTACGCTGTCAGTCTCTGTTAGCAGAACTGCTTTCCATCACCGTTTCAATTTGTGGTCTGTCTTATGCTATTTTAGCCAATTTGATCCAGCAAGTGCAAAGAATGCAAAAACAAAAAACAGAGGAGATGGACAGTTTGAAAAACAGAGTGGAAATCAGCAAAAAGAAAAAGGGGGAAAGGAAAACAGAGTAGCCTTTCTCTCGACTACAGTTCATTCTATGTTCTAGAGAACGTTTCCAGAATTAGATATGAATGTTTGCCTTACTTCAGCATCAGTCTTCTTATTGTGCAGTACAAGGCAGAATCAATACTTATATCTGTTTTCATAATTCTGCCCTTAGGTGACTGTTTGGACTCCATCTGTTATTGCCAATTTAACTTTGAAATTATTTACTTGGTCTGTTGCTTCACTTCCTGTCCTTGTTTCCTGCTCTTGTGATCCCCTTTCTATTGTATTTGACCTGTGTACAATTATCCCAGCAACCCTTGTGCTCCCAGTCCTCTATGAGCTGCTGTCAGACATGCGCTGAACTCCAGGGATTTTCCAGAATTTTTCCAGAGGGGCAGTATGTGAGAACGCAAAAGTCAGTTGCTCCAGACATTTTCCCACTAACACACAAGTTAGATAGACACCCCCCCCACTGATCCTAACCCTGGAAACCCTGATTAGTCCCCTTACAAGGAGTCTTGGGTATCTAGGGGTTGGAACCCCTAGAGGGATGAGTGGGACACAGAATAGTTGATTTTCCAAGCTGTCCAACAATCCAGAGCACCACAAAGAATGCACAGCCAGACCCCAAAGCCAGACTTTGAGTTTGCCTTCCCTGCCAAAAGTCCTTCTGTTTCAGCAGCAGCTAAACCAACCTGGTTGCCCTGGTTGACAACCCATTTGTTCCTGAGTCTGCTCCTCAATCAGGAGTCTCAGCCAACAGCTCATCTACTCCAGAGAGGAGCACGTGGGAGTAGAATGATACTGAGATGGGTATTTGTACTTAAAACCACTAATATATCTGTCTGTATATCAATGTCTGCCATTACACTGACCTGGCTACTGAGAGGCACATTGTGAAGGTTCAATAACATAGTTACTAGTTCTTGTCATGGCATTACCCCATGCCCTGTAATATATAAGGTGGCAAACACTTAACATACACCATTAGTTGCAGCACATCAGTAGCATTAGCATGGCTGTATCATTAGGTAGCATGTTAAGCTAGCACTCACAAATCATTTAATCTTTCTAAACTGTACTGATACACAGAGTCCACAACCAATAGTCAGAAATAACCTCAACGACGCACAGTTTTATTTCACAAACATTTGTTGTTATTTAATGTTTTGGGTACATGTGTTTGTGATGTTATATCCACCCTCCCTCACCTTCATGCAGGGTCCTGGTCCAACTGACAAACAGGAAGTGGGAGATTCCAACTCCATTTATAGAGAGGGGAATCTGGAGTGTACCACATAAAAGCCAGTCCAGAGGGGTGTTTTAAATTATATCACAGAAATGCTCTTTTAAATGCCCATCGAATATAATAGTGTGATATTTTTGTGACAGGCTAGGTCGGGTGAAATGCTGATGGGTATATATATTTTGCAATGTCATATCTGATAGAGATTTGTTATTTGATATTTGTCTCTATGGTTTGTCTTGTAGGGGGGGCTTCCACTATAAAGCCAGTGGGTAGATGCTTCTCAAGAGAGAGTTGAGCTTTGTGCCCAGTGAGCAAGTCTTGTTGCTTTTGCCAACATCGGAAAATAAATTGCTGGCTAGGTGGCAAGGCCCTCACCAGGTCAATCGGAAGATGGGGGAGGTGACTTACCAAATCGACATGCCAGAGCATAAACAGCCACTTCAAACATTCCATATCAATATGCTGAAGAAATGGCACACCCGGTCTGTTCCAGAAGCATCAGGAAAATTAATACAGTGAGTAAGATGGACTTGTACCCCATGCACAGAGTGGACAACCTGGTCGAAAGACTAGGCGGTGCTAACTTCATCAGTAGCCTGGATTTATGTAAAGGGTACTGGCAGATCCCACTCACCAAGGAGAGCAAGGAGGTTGCGGCATTCCGAACCCCTTTTGGACACTTCCAGTTCACAGTCCTTCCATTCGGACTGCATGGGGCCCCTGCAACTTTTCAGAAGATGATGGCTAGGTTGCTCGAGGGCACAGAATCCTATGCAGTGGCCTACTTGGATGATGTGGTGATCTACAGTTCCAGCTGGGAGGGTCACCTGTCTCATCTGAAAGAAGTGCTGAGGAGAATTAAGGAAGCAAGCCTCATAATCCGCCCAGACAAGTGTGCACTTGCAAAGCAGGAATCCAAGTACCTGGGTTTTGTGCTAGGAAAAGGGGTGATCCGTCCCCAGGTTGGAAAAGTGGATGCCATCATGATGGCTGAGAGACCAAGAACAAAGTCGCAAGTCAAGTCATTTTGTCCCGGGTTTCTCTACCCTCTCAGTTCCTCTTACCAACCTGACAAGAAAGAACCAACCCAACAAGGTTCAGTGGACAACAGAGTGTGAAGAGTCCTTTAAAGCTCTAAAGGGTGCATTGTGTGAGGAACCAGTACTGAAGAGCCCTGACTTCCAACAGCCATTCATTCTGCAGACTGATGCATCTGAGCTGGGTGTGGGTACAGCCCTGTTGCAGGGGGAACCAGGTAGTCTCCAACCTGTTTTGTACATCAGCCGGAAGCTCAACAAGCATGAAGTCAGGTACTCAGTGGTGGAGAAAGAATGTCTTGCCATCAAATTGGCCTTGGACTCTCTTCACTACTACCTACTAGGAAGGGAATTCATCACCGGGCATTGTCATAGTTGCAGAATATGAAAAACACTAACTCCAGGATCAAACGATGGTTTCTCGCCATGCAGCCCTTCGATTTTGATGTCCTCTACAGGAAGGCGAAGGATAACTGCACAGTTGATTACCTCTCCAGGACATCACAAGTGTCGTCTCCAGAAGGAGGGGGGGGGGGGGGGTCATGGGGTTACCCCATGCCCTGTGATATATAAGGTGGCAAACACTTAACATATACCATTAGTTGCAGCACATCAGTAGCATTAGCATGGTTGTATCATTAGGCAGCATGGTAGCATGTTAAACTAGCACTCACAAACCATTTAATCTTTCTAAACTGTATTGATACACACAACCAATAGTCAGAAATAACCTCAACGACACACAATTTTATTTCACAAACATTTGTTGTTATTTAATGTTTTGTCTCTATGGTTTGTCTTGTAGGAGGGGCTTCCACTATAATGCCAGTGGGTAGATGCTCCTCAAGAGAGAGTTAAGCTTGGGCCTGGAGGCCTTGTGTACAAGAGCCCGTGAGTCAGTGGCCTAGTAATGGGTATTTGACTTCAGTTTGAAGAGTTTTTGTTTGTTTGTTTAGTATCTTTTAATTTTTTTCTCAACTCTGCACATTCCCACATTGTACCTGCACGGGACTGGTAACTAAAATAAATTGAAGCACCAGGTGAAGATCTCAAATCATGTCTCCATCTTCCACCATGGGGCTCAATATTACAGTTCTAATTAGTTTAAACCTAATGTTTCTGCTGCCAAATAGCAAAAGTACCAGTTAAACCTTTGGATGCTTTCACACCTACTTTGTTCAGTTTGAATCTTTGGACCAATTGCTGAAATTAATTGTTCTATAGCATTAAACAATAGAACAAGAAAAAGAAAAGGAAGCAGCTAGCAGTGAAGTGAATCGGTTCATTAATTTTTTTCCCGTTCAAATGAAAAGACAAATTTGTTTCAATGCACTTCAATCAAAAAAAGTTAACAAATACAATAACTGAATTGATGTACACTTCATGCAGTATGGAGGCATATTATGCTTTTTTCTGTTGTTTTATTACGTTTGGAGAAGAGGTCACTTTGGCTGAAACACTGTTTATGCCTGAAACTCCTGAAGTGTTTTGTGGACTCAAACACTTCTCCCACCCCTCCATCAGCATAGTGGTGAGTAGATACTGGGTGAATTTTAATTTTTCGCTGAACTATCACTTTAACTGATTGTTCATCACACATCCCTAATTAGGCCAGACAGTAATTTTCCTACACAATCCCTGCACAGAGAACAAAAACTCTACATTCAATCACACTTCATGAGTTATTATGAACATTTTATCATGTGGTGAAATGAAGCACATGGCTCTGACCTCCGCTGACTGGTAGAAATCCAAATGGAGAGTTGGGAAAGATCCCGCCTCTCCATGAGGAGGAGGGGGAGACAGAAGAGAGTTGGGAGCAGACACAGAGCAGCAAGGACAGAGAAGGACAACCTTAATGAAGGTTTGAGGAAGTTTTTTCGGTGATTGGAAAAGAGGAAAAGACATGGACTTTTGTCTACAAGTCTACTTCATTTTGGCATCTTTTTTTACCAGCACATCTTTATGCAGGAGAGAAAAAAACCTTTAAAAACTTAACACCGCCTGGATGTTTAGATGAAGGCAATAACTTCACAAGGTACGAGAAGTAACTGAAGCTGCTGTGATAAGTAATAAAATAACTGTGCAGAGAGAGTTTGTGCATAGAGACACTTAAATGCAAGTTCTGTTCACAAATGAAGACTATTAAATGTTGTACAACGTTTTCAAAACAGGAAAGTTGCAGTTACCTCAATAATTAGGCATCTGGTTTCAAGTACAACTCTGTTGAAATGTTGTTGAAACAATTTTATATATTGATAGAGGAGAATTTGTTAATGGTTAATGAACATAAAGGACCTTATTATTGAGGGGAAACCCCGTTTATCCATCCTCAGAATTTCATGTGCAAGAAAGCATAAATTAAGTATTCTTTATTTTTCTTACGATCATTGACATTTGTTTGGGATTCATAGAGTTTTCACCAGAAATTTTGATTTATTAATAAATAATGGCATGTAGGCTTTGACATAATGGCTTTTTAAACACTTTAATGCCACAGCTCTATGTTCTAATAAAAAGGAACGAGGGTAATTACATTGACAATAAACTTAATCTAATTTCCTTTTTATATAATTTTTTTTATGAGTCGGTTTTATATTGTGTTATACAGTAGCCTATATACTTTTTATATTCCACACGTTGCTGTCTCTCCATATACAATTTTTAATCTCAGTGATGCTCTTTACTATTTGAATATAGACTCAACGTGGAAGTCCAAAGATATATATATACGCTTTTAATGTTTATTTTAAATTGACTATTTTTGATGCTTCTTGCGGGGCCATCAGAGAGTTTTTTTATGACATAAATTAACCAAAACCTTGTTGAATGTGACTTTTTGGATGTTTATGTGCTAAACTATTTTAAGAGTAAATTTGTGTGTGATTTGCAGGTCCCTGACTAATGAGGCTGTAAAATGACTGCTCTAAGACTGCCGGGCTAAGCAGCCTGACCTCCCTCATCTGTGTCCAGTGCTGTGGCTCCCTCTGCTGAGCAACTAAGGAAGGCCAGGAGTAGCAGGCAGTATGGGCAACACACTGGAGGAAGGGATGAATACTGTCATCGTCAGACACTACAACCACTCAGGGAAGTGGGATCGACCTCGCAGCAGCGAGGCCTGTAAGATGGCCGTGCTGCTCTTCATCTGCGTGCTAATCGTCCTGGAGAACGTCACAGTCCTGCTCGCTCTCTGGAGGAACAAGCGCTTCCACAGCCGCATGTACTTCCTCATTGGTAACCTGGCGCTGTCAGACCTTCTGGCTGGTGTGGCCTATGCGGTGAACATCTTTACCTCGGGAAAGAACACCTACTTCCTTACGCCGGTGCAGTGGCTGGCCAGAGAAGGGAGCATGTTTGTGGCCCTCAGCGCCTCAACCTTCAGCCTCCTGGCCATCGGGATTGAGAGGCACATGACTATGGTGCGATTGCGTCCCTGTGAGACGGCAGGTCGAGGGAGGCTCCTAGGACTGTTGGCAGCCTGCTGGCTTGTGTCAGTGCTGCTCAGCGCTCTGCCCAGCCTGGGGTGGAACTGCCTGAACAATCTGGCCTCCTGCTCCACGGTGCTGCCGCTCTACGCAAAGAGTTACGTGGCCTTCTGCATCAGTGTCTTCAGTGCTCTGTTGGTGGCCATCATCATCCTCTACATCAGGATCTACCGCCTGGTGACCTCAAGCGGTCGCAGGGTGAGCAGTCGGCCTTCAGAGCGCTCACTGGCCCTGCTACGGACAGTGGTTATCGTTCTTGGAGTGTTTGTCATGTGCTGGGCACCGCTCTTCCTCCTGCTGCTGCTGGATGTGGGTTGCAGCCCATATAAGTGCCCTGTGCTCTACCAGGTGGACTGGTTCATCGCTCTGGCTGTGCTCAACTCTGCCCTCAATCCTCTAATATACACTCTGTCCAGCAGGGAGATGAGAGCTGCCTTCTTCCGGCTGCTGTGCTGCTGTCAGACCAGTTTGGAGTCCACTGGCTCTCCTGTTGTGGGCAACCTCCATCTGGGCACGGTCATCCCCACAGCAGAGAACAGCAAGACCAGTCTGGGTGGAGGAGGGGGCAGTGGTACTGGCAAGTCCACACTGAATCGAGAAAAGGTTCCCGCACCTATGAACTCCGACAACAAGAACGGAGACCCCTCTGCCACTGCTGTGCAGCACCACTCTGGGCCTACAGACCTGCTCTCAGCCGTGTTGAAGGCCGGGGTGCGGTCGCCCCTCAGCAAGTTCTAAGTGGAAGCACTTTAATGAAGCCTTTACGACAAATTGATGTAGACATAGAACTGACACGATCCTGCGATCAGCCACTTTTTGTTTATGCACTATGACCAGTGTAGCATGGATGTGAATAGCATAAATATTACATTTGGATCAGGTTTTAGATTAGGGTACAATCCAAATCGTTATTTAGCCACTATTTACAACAATTCCACATTATTGCTCACATTACCAGATTGACTGAAACCCTAGAGTGATCAAATTTAACATTTCAAAACTATGAAAAATAATAGGACAGTTTCCTGGACCTGGGAATAAACTAAGCCCCAAATTAAATGCTGTGATATTTTAACAATATTTGTAGGCGTTGTCTGGCCTGGCCTGTAGCCAAAGGTTTCTTTTTCTTTATCCCTGAATAATTCTCCACTTCCAGCCTTTTATCTTTATGTAAATAAACATGTCAATGTTATACTTACATGTATAATGAAGAGGCAAGACCAATCAAAGAGGGTTCACAGGATAATACTCAAGTCTCTATTGACTGACAGGTCTCTGTCAATAATATAATTGATGGGATTACTTTGCCAAATGCTCGCTCACACAGTCAGTTTGGGTAAATAATGGATATACATAGATTCTTTTGCCAGGTAAAGGGGATGAAAATGCAGCACAAACATCCATTGATGCTGAGCCATAAAAACAAGATAGTTAAATATCTGTATGAGTTGAAAGTTACATAAACATGATATGAGCAGAGCATATGCAATACACAGCTAACTTTGCATTGCACTGCAGACAGTTTATATCTGTAGCAGTGATCCCTCTAGTCATTCAAGCCTGATATTGTATTAGATAGCCAAATCTATTTAGATTTTTTCACTCATGAGAGATTTATAAACTACAAAAATTTAAACTGCAAAATAAACACAGAATCTACCTGAATTAGATGTGTCACTCTCACATTTTGGTTATAAAAAAATGTGGTAAACTGGAATAAAGAGTCAAACTCACATTATCTGTGTACAGTAGAACAGGTTAGTGTTTGACTTAATCACTCCCCTCGATAGGATTACATAGATATGATTGTTGAGAGTGAGGTATGTCACGTGGTGTATGTCACATGATTGAAGCTCCATTAGTGAGGGCTACTGCGGACTGATGCCTTTCAACATTGAAAAGTAACAACAATAATAATAATAATAATAAATTAAATCAATAACCAATAAAAAAACAAGTTTTACATTTTAGTGTAGCTCTCTAACGCACAGAAACAGGAGTATTTACGTTTTTTGAAGTGTTTTGGAGACAAACCTGGGCTCACCTCCTGAGGTTTAACAGTCCAGTCAACGCCCCTATTAATATCAGTAACAGTATACTTATATGCATCAGTGTTGCTTCTGTCAATGTCTTTCTTTTTTTCATTATATGCAGGGCACTATGTTTTTTTTGTGCTATGTGCAGATTCTTGTTAAACAGCAGCATTTTCAATCACAGTTTGAATTGGCAAACTATTTATTTTCTATGAAAACATTTGGCATCTTGATACTTTAAACCATTTGGTAGAATATTTTTTTGCTTTGTGTGCATAAAAACCCTCATGGTACTTGGACTTACTTCATATGAGTTTTGTTATGATTTGAGATGCACTGTAAGATTCTGTCAGACCAGCGGCCTCTTGAGGCTATGATGCTCATCACACACCAGAACACTAAACCTGTCACATGGATGTTATTACTAGATTCTTACCACTTGTGGGTGAGGACATCAAATTTGCCCTGAAGGTGGCGCTACAGGAAAAGCAATGTTTTAACATGAAGTCGGAAGAGATTCTGGTTTTATTATAACCACCAGTTTTGGACAATTCAGGCTGCAGCTGTCAGTTGGTTCATCTCTCATCTGTTTCAGCGATAATAACCACACTGAAGACATCTCTCACTTCTCATCAGCACGTGTAGAAACCACTTGCATCAACTAACCACTAGTGACTGAAATGAGATGTGAATAATTTAATGGTGGACTGTAAATGACAATTCTGCCTTGGGTGATGTAGTGCCTTATACGTTTATATAGCAAAATAAAATCCCATTCCCGTTTTAATGAGGTTTTTCACACGTCTCATGTTGTTATATTAAATCAGGGGCCTTCGTCTCATTCATATTCTGTGTGTGTTTTGATCAGTCAAGAAGTAACAAGGATTTTTGGGGTCTTTTGTACAATATAAGTGGGGAATGTTTGCTCATACCAAACACATATACAAGTAGGAAAGGCTCTGTTTTGCTAGTTATAATAATTCAAGCTGCTGCATTCATATAATATCCTAATGGAAAGATACATAATGCTCTCTTATTCAGACCTGGGTCACAATACAGATAAATTCTTTAAGGGGTTTTCAGTTGGGTGAGGTCAGGTTGGTATTATTCATGAATCTCATGCTTTGAAGAGCTTCTTCTTTTAAGTCTCTGGAACTCCAAGGGTATCTTGTATGTATCATTCAAACAGTTTGGTGGAGGTTTTTGTTTTATTTTCACTTGAAACGTTTTTGTTAAATCCATCATTAAAATGAAGGGGGATTATCGCATCACACACATTTACTCAGTAACAAAGGGAGTTACTGATAGTCACTGTGAATTCTGTGAACTGATCAAACACTTTATTCATGTACCAAAAAAAAACAGCTGCAGAGAAGGTTGCTTCATCCTGAGCTGATGGTTTGGGCTGATAGAAGCAGAGTTTGCTGTGCAATGTGATAGCAAGCTGACAGACTGGCATTTCATACTTACCTCAGCTCAAGGGTGTGATTCTGCTCCGCCTCCACCTCCGGTTTCTGATGGGAAAAGAAAGCGAGGACGCAACAGCAGCCAAGCATTTCCAGCATAAAGGTCACTGACTGCTTCCTGTCAGAAACGTCTGAACACTCTTTCCTGAATTAGCCGGGGACGATCGTGACCTTATGCCATGTGGAACATTAGAAAATGCCAGAACGTTGAGCTGTGCGGAGTTATTTGTAGTGAGTGAGTGAATCCTCTGCTTCCTGATCCTTCTCCTAATTCTCCTTGTGCGCCATGTTATACTCTCCCTACTTACACCACTATCACCATCCTGATTCAAGTCCTCTTTGGATTTAGTTGTATACATTTTTTAGATCCATCCATCTATTATCTTTCAAGCTTGTTCCTTGAGGGTCACAGGGGGAGGTGGAGTCTGTCCTCACTGACATTGGGCCAGAGGCGAGGTGCACGCTGGAAAAGTCGCCAGGTCATCACAGGGACGACATACAGAGACAAACAAATATTCATATCTATATGGACAATTTAGAGTCTCAAGTCAACCTAACCCTCAATCTGCATGTCTTTGGACTGTGGTAGGAAGCTGGAGAAACACCACACAGACATGGGGAGAACATGCAAACTCCACACAGATTCAAACTGGGGAACCTTCTTGCTAGGTGCTAACCACTAATCCACAGTGCCACCCTGAAAGTGTTTTGCGGTTTTAAAATTGGTTTCAATAAAGCAGACGTAAAGACAGAGGTGTTGTTGCAGTTTCATGCTTACAGCTATAGATGTTAGATTAGTCAGGAACAGCTCATAAAAAGCTTGTGTGCTCACTAAATGCTCAGCTGCATCAATTAGACAAATTGGGTTTAGAACTTGGTAATACGACTTAACGATTTATCGATCTGATATTTACCAAAAAGACTGAAGAATGAATCCTAAAATGACCATGAATCTAATCTAAGAGGTGAAGACACAAAAAAATATTGGAGACAATGACCCACATTTACCTCTGGACCAAAACATAAATAAATAAATAAATACTGGGACATCATCCATTAGCAGATAAATCCTTTGTTTACATGAAGTGCAGCACTCAGTGATGGATTTGTGTTGTTTTTCTAACATTCTTAATCACTGCACAGTAGTTTTTTTTCCTGATCACCACTTACTTATACTGACAATGGTTTTCAGTAAAACCTGAACCTTGAAACTGTCGTATTTTAGAGTATCTCCAAATGTATTTAGAAATCATTGTTCTTTTTGCAGTATAATAGTAAAAATTGTGCTGAAGGACAACACAGACCCCATCCAACTGTTCTCATCCTCACTTATTCATTTCATCATCTTTATCTTACATCCGTCTCGAAGAAAAAAAGCTAAATCAATAAATTCATTTTCATTCAAATCTTCTTTGTGTCCTCGAATTCCAGCTGTGACAGTTTGCATTTCTCCCGTCCACTGAATCAAACACAGTTTTACGGCTGCGTGTGCTAACTGGGTCAAACACCTTAATAAATCATGTTAACTAAATAGCCATCACTAGTCTTCTTTGAGGATTTAGACATGGTGGATTTGTGTCATTCTCTGTGCACAATGCTTATTTGCATATGACTAATGTGAACAGGAAGGAGGACAAGAGAATCACACCACCCCCTGTCATCGTGATCCTGGATTTATCCTGCTGCATGGTGAGGAAATGTGCATGCATGTGTGTGTGGGTGTGTGTGCATTTGCAGTGTGTCACGGTTTTTGTACAGTACAGACATGCTTGTACCGTGTGTGTGTGTGTGTGTGTGTGTGTGAGAGAGAGAAAGAACAAAGACTCCCTCTGGTCTGAGCTGCTGAATGCACCAGCATGAAACACTTCTTTCTTACTCAAGTCCCTTTTTGAAGCAGCTTGGAGGTGGAGTGGGGGCCAGGCAGGGAGCGGCCAGGGGTCCTATTTGGGGCGGCCCCCAGCCGAAGCCAATCTGTCCTCTGTGGCTCAGTGGGATGGCTCTCACTATGACGCACACATTCATTCGGTGTGTGATGCTTCCCCCTCACTACCTACACAGCTCTCAGATTCAACACAGTGTAATTACACGTGGAGAATAGAGAGTGCAGACCCAGGTGAGGAGATTTTGGTGATAAGATCCCTGGGATCAGAGGGTTTTATCCAGAAGGAAGATGGGAGAGAGAGCAGAGGCAAAGGTCACTTCATAGGAGGTTATCTAAAGGAGCCAACTAAGATCTGGATTGGTTCTTCCCAGCATCCCTTTCTGCACCCCAGTAACTCTACTGTTTAGTGCTGATCAAGACTCCAGCTGAGTCAGGGCAGAAAAAAATTCCAGAGTGAAAAAAGAATATTTTGAACTGACAGTCGTTTAAAACGTCTCAGTTATTTCATTGTATAACCATCTTCTATTTTTTTCAGTTTTGCCATCCTTCCATTCACACACACACATTTACACAGTGCCTCTATGTGCAGCACTTCGGCACGAGGAATATGGCAGACTGGGATCGACCCACTGACCGTCTGGTTACTGGACAACCCGCTCTATCTCTGAGCCAGTGTTTCTGCTGTGATGATATAACTGTTTATTCATTATCATTCATAATGATAAGACTCTAACTGCATCCTTTCACGAGTAGATGTGGATCAGACCTCATCCATCTTCAAACTCAACTACACCCACGTTAAGTTTCATGACTGGATTTGCACAGTTGTGATGCAATCGTGTTGATAAAATCTGTCCACAGATATTAAAACATTCACCAAAGTACTCGTGGCAGAGGTGGATCAACTATCCATTCCAAATTCTACCCCACAAATATCCCCCTCTCTACAAAACCCCCAAAAACAGCAGCTGCTCTGTCTTCAATCCTTCTCTGATTACAGTCGCCCGGCAGAGCCTGACAGCATGTACACACACACCTGCTCACACTGACCTCCAATCTATCTCCTCCACGCCTGCTTGCTACAACTGCAGGGATTAGCATGTCTGGGATAGAGGATAAGAGAGGGGGAGAACAGCAGCCTCTTGGTCTGACAGGCATGTCCTGGGCCTCACTTGTGGCACTGAGCGTGTGTGTGTGTGTGTGGACTGCACAGCTGGCTGATTCCAAGCTGCTGTGCATGCATGTGTGTGTGTGTGTGTGTGTGTGTGTGTGTGTGTGTGTGTGTGGAGCAACTGGTGGTGGAGACACCCCTGATAGAATTCAAGTGTGAGTTAATCCCCCGGGCAACTTAGTTTGAAATGTTAAGCATTTAATCTATAAAATGAAGTCATGACTAAATGAGCAACTATTAAGGACAAAGTATATTATGAGTTAAACAATAAAATACTTTCTTTGTGTGTGGCTGAGGTGCCTAAGAGTTAAAAGTTAACAGCTATTCTGCTTCATCAGGCCGGTGCGGGTGTGCTGTGATCTGATTTGATTGACAACTGGGTCTGCAAAAAACATCTTTAGATTCCGAAGCAAATGCTGCTAAACTCTGACTCTGCACAGAAACATGTGAACACACCTTTTCCCAACAGATCTCTGCCCACCTCATCCCACGAGACAAGCACAGACAGAAATGCTCATGAAAAGAAAAAAACACAACCGTTTCAACTTTGGGAGAAAACGAATTGTGTTCACGAAGGTTTTCAGACTCCTTGCACACAAGTGTAATGTTAAAGCAAATGTAGAGGACAGAATTAAAGCCAGTACATAATATAACACATTAAGTGCCTGGATACAGACTTTGACATTCTGTATTGACTTGGTATCAGCCACAGATCCACAGATGGAGCCGTGCTGGTTGCTTCTAGGTCTCAGCTCATAACAAAGGTTGGCAGAGCATTTTGCTATCAGAGTCCCCACATTAGAGAATTCACTCCCCATTGAATGTAGACAAAGTAATTCTCCAGCTTCTTTTTAAGCCCTTCTTAAAGCTTTACTTTTTCTTATTAGAGCTTTTACAAATGATTGACGTTGACTCTTATTTACGTTATCTATACAATTCTTTCCATTTTCTTATTTTCCATTGTTTTTTTCTCATTGTTTCTGTCTTTGAAACATTGTTAACAGAAATGTTATATAATTAATATTATTTTTGTCTGACCAGACTTCATAAAGCTTCTCTGGAAGAAAACCTTCATTTACATATACTTTCTTTTGCCCATATATATTTCAGTATTGTTACTAACGGCTTTTAGTTCTGTCTACTTATGCCTCTTGTGGCCAAAATGAGTATCAAAAAAACAAACAATAAATCCTGACAAATTTTTTTTGTTCATCTAGAAAAAGAAATCACAATTTTCCACTGATAAAAAAAGAAGTAGAAATATGATCCTGAAATAAATGATTTAATTAAACACAAATCATGTGTTGTGTTAACATTCAGGATGGCTTTCTTCCGTTAGTGTCCCGGTAAACCATGACCCAGGACCCTTGAACTGAAGCAGCTAAATGGAATGCAGCCATTATTATTAATTACTATTATCTGTTGTACTGCTGGAACAAATTAAAATGTGAAAATGGCATCTATCCATTTTAAACCTCCTTCTGTACAAACTTATCATACAAATGGATCATGACTGTCAGACCATGCATGTGAGCGCGTGAGTGTCATGTGGTTTCCAACCATGTTCTTTGGCTCCATGGTGATCACAGGTGTTCGCTCCTCCAAGGCTGTCTGATGGATTAACACCTGCCGTCACCGCATTATCGTCGTCACCCTCCTGATCTGATATCACACGCATTCTGATGTGACAGCTGCGCGCACACACACACACGTCTCTCTATAGTTTAGAGGACACTCATTGACATTATGCATTACCCTAACCTTAACCATCATAACTAAATGGCTAACCCTTAACCTAATTCGAACCCTTACCCTAAAACTAAGTCTTAACCCCCAAACAGCCCATTGAATTTATAAGGACCTGTCAAAATGTCCTCACAACGATAGTATTGAACCAAAATTGCCCCTCATAACTACAGAGAGACATGCACACACACCAAAATCATTGTATAATGCCGTCTCAATGTGTTCATGAAAACATATCTTTACACTGTATCTGGCCTCTTCAGTTGTATCCAAACGAGCTCCTACAAATACAACAAACTTTGATAAGCAGGTAAAAGAGCTATAAACAAAATCCAGAGAGAAATGTGACTGTGATATTTGTTTGATATTTACATGTTGCATTGCTACTGTCGTTATTATTCATATCCCTCCCCGGGGAGCCTTGTTTGAAAAATGGGAAGATAGCAGACCCCCCCCCCCTTCCATGTCACCCACACACATACACACACTTGTTTGGAGTCTTGTTGGGGAAGTATAGGCAGGCGGCACCACCCCCCTCCTGTCCTCCGCTCTTTCCCCATTTTTTTTCTTCCCTTCCTTCACTCTTTCTCCCCAATAGAGCGTGATCCAGCTCGTCTCCTCTCCGTCACACGGGTAATCAGCCTCTGCTTTTTCATTTGGCTCCGTAATGAAAGCAATCCCAGCGCTTTTCACTGCAGCGCAGCCCAAATAATGAGGGCTGCCTCAGCCCTCCTCCACCACACCTCACCCACCCACCTCCCAGTCCTCACCCTCTCCCTCCCTCCCAACCCTGCTGTTAATGGATGGAGGCGAGCAAATGTGTGTGTGTGTGTGTGTGTGTGTGTGTTTGAGTATGTGAAGCACGCAATCTTGCCAAGTCCTTTTGTCTGTTTTCTCCTTTCTGAGCTGCAAATGAGTCTATTGTGTGGAATCTGTTCAGTGATGCTCTTAATCAGAATATTCGGTTTTTGTTTTCTTTTTCAATCAAATTTAGGAAGTGCAAAACGTTTTTTTATCTACATTCACAAACCTTTACTGAGATGTGAGGAGATCAACATCTCAAGCTTCCCTGATTATTTTTTAGAGGCTGAAAGAGATAAAAAAAAGAAATCCATCAAATTGAATAATCTAAAATTAATCTCTAAACCACGTGGTCTTCCTGATCTACATCAACACATTCCTGAAGAATCTTGAGAAACACTAGTTTTAAGAACAGCATTGATACTTCACCACAGCAGGTAGGTTATGCAGCCTGTAATGTTTTACTATCGACAGAAAACGGCCATAACACAGGCAATATAGACTTTTCCATAAAGAAACAACGATTTGAATATTTTTTTCAGTTTTTTATTTCTAATGGTCCTTAACGTGTTTGGTAGAAATTGTCCGTCATCTAAAATCAGTTTGTGCCACACAACACTGCAACCAGGCAGCAGACGTGGAAGCCCCTTCCAGATGGCAAAGCAATAAACTGAAATACGATGGACAAACCAGCATGTAAGGACTTGGCCAGACAGACAATCTGTGATAAAATGTAGGAAGTGTGAGAATGTGGCCCACATTCGTACGGTTTAAGAGTCCAGAGTCTCCGGCGTTTTCTGATCAGCATGTCTGAGGTCACAGATACGTGAATGCAGGTAAATGTCGCAGGTCAAAGTTCACCAGTTGAACTTCTGCAAAGCCACACTGCGGATTTGCTTCACCACAGGAAGCAAATGTTTTATACGGCCCTCGCTCGCACAGAATGGAACTGAATGGGAGGTGAAAGTTCACCACTGGTTCATTTGCATATGTGACCATGCCCTTAAGCTGGACTCGCACGTATGTGTTAGATGCTTTAACCAAGACGCAGGTCATTGACTTTGAATGGGGCAATGGTGGTTTCTTCTGTTGCGTATGGTAAAAGTACTGGTTGTGGATTTTATTTCCTGTGTACTTCTTTATAGTAAGCACAAAAGCCAGTTAGTTTGTGTGTTCCGAGCATGAAACTGTTGCTGCTTTCAGACATTCATTTAACTCCAGACATTCTCCTGAAATTATGCAGAGAGGCTGCATGCGAGAACGTAACTGTCTGAGTCAATTGCTCTGGACATTTTGCTCAGTTTTCCCCACTGAGCCTCTAGTAAAATGTCCAGAGAATGTCCCGAGTGAGCCCATGTGAAAACTCTGACAATCTCCTGCTGTGTTCTTCATATGTGAAAGGCAAAGTCTGGAGAAAGTCTGGACCCAATTGTCTGGACATTTTTCAGAGTTTGTATCTAATAATGGCTTGAGATATTTGTCGCTCTGACTAACATGCAAACATCCAGTGTTAAGAGTTAACGCAAGGCTTTCATGGGAGTCCATTGTTAGCTTCAGACGTCGCCTGCAGCTCAGATCTCAAACTTATTTTTAAATCAGTGAAAAGACAATGAAAACAGTGACGGGTTGTTGTTTTTTTTCTTTCATTCTTTTTTTTTAACAAACCCAGCATTGTCTACCTAATGCAACGTAGGCAACCAAAGAAGAGATACAGGTCAGCAAGGTCAGCACCAATACCAATACAACACAGCCTCTCTGTTGCTTACAGTGAACAATCAACAAGTAACATGGAGACGTGTCAAGCAAATCATCAACATACAGCAGCAGCATGACAGCACAGAACAGACTGAATGAAAATTAAATGTGTGGCTTTGTGTAGAAAAGCATTTAAAACATCACTGTTGTTGGTAAAAACCTTTTTTTTTTTTTTCAAAAATAGGAGTTTTTTTTATCATTATCTTTTTTAAATTTACAATCAGGGTTTCTGAGCCCCGAGGTTGACAAACGTTTCGCGCCCTATTCAGTACAATTCAATTTATTGATTCTGGTAAAAACATGAAAAATAAGTAAAAAAGAACTTGCAAGGTTTTCACCTGACAACAGCAATATTTTACCAGTGTCAATGAAGTGCGATTTTGGGGAGGTTAAGAATATGCAGACTTTCTCCCATTTCAGACAGTGGTAAGAGACATGTAATAAAGAAAGAGACAATTTCAGATGTCCTGACATTACAACCCCTTGATTTAGCAAAATGATATGATGGTGAGAAGTTACAACAAAGGTGGCATAAAGTTCAGGTATTTCATGTGAATCAATCCTCCCCGATATTTAGACACACTTGGCACCTGTACAACAGCAGTGGTGGGTGAAGGCATTAGCTCTGTAGTGTGTGGATTCATCAAAAGTAGTCCGGTCCAACACAGGACTACTGTTGATGGCACTCCGCTGGGAAGGACCCCGTCAAACATTCAAGTTTTTAATTGTCTGAACTCAATGAAATCCTGGAGGTCCAGAGGGAGCGGGCGGCGTCAGTCAGAGTGTCTGCACCAGCACGGGGAACAGCAGGGACAAGTGCTCGGCACCCCGGACGGGGAGTTTGTGCGTGGTGTAGAAGTGTATCACCTCTGGGATGGTGTCAAATGGAGGGCTGTTCTGACCCAGCACGTACTTGCCGTCTTTACACTGTGTGAACTTCATGTGCATGAAACCTTGGCAGCTCCTGAGAGAGAGGGGGGAGGAAACGAGAAGAAGAATGAGAGTGATCCGATATGAAAGAGAGAAAGAGAAGAGTAGGGAGAGAAAAGAGCGATGGCATGATATGTAGAGGACATAAAACATGAAGCTGTGTCACACACAGTGGAAATGACGGCCTGGATTTATGTTCACTTCATTCTGCTGCACTTGTAGGAGGTGATTCTAACCAAGATGTAACACTATGTCACAAATTAGGAAGGAAGAGACACTTTGATGGATGAATGGATGGTATAATAGCACACGGTGGGAAAGACAAGAGTGTGTGAGAAAAAAAACGAAGAACGGAAGCAGTGGACTGTGAAAGGGGCTTCGCCAAGAGAACCACGCCAGTTCCTCCCCTTTAAAATCAGTAACGGCAGCACTTCCCCTTTAAGAGCCCGCAAGCCAGTCATGACTTATGTCTAATTATAGAAGCAGAGGGAAAGACAAGGGCGGAAACCTGTCACCATAATCGTCATTGTTCTAGTCAACCAAATTAAAATTTGAAGAGCGCTGAAATCAAAGACACCCTCTGTGAATACAAACAGCCAAACAACAGGCAGTTCATGATCATCCCATCACAAGTCTCCAGAGCACCGACAGCCAGACGTGTGTCATCAAGTCGGCGCCGCTCGGAGTTGACAGTGAGCTTTCATCCCGTTCTGTTTGTTTTGGGGGACTGGTTGTATCTCATGGTACATTAGAACCTGCCAGTGCTTCTTTCATAAATATTCATGTTGGGTTCAATCCTGCAGGACTGTCTGTTTCAATGCTGACTCACTTTGGAGTGCCTCTTCATTTTGTCTCCATTAAACTTCTTTTGTCATTCCTCCCATTGTTCACGTTACACTGGAATCTTAAAATGTCATGGTTCGATTTTTCCCAAGGGAGCGAGATTCTAACACAAGGACAGAAAAACCCAGACGCTGCGTTGTTTAAAAAAATGGAGCTGTTATTACAAATTTCTGAAGGGTGTATTGGAACCATGGCCATGTGTCAGTATCCTTGTCCAACCTGCAAATTTGTCACAACAAACAGATAAAGAATCTGAAAAATACTCTTTTGGGATGAAAACTCTAATCTAAGCTAAAGCACAGTGCTTTAATTTAAGTGGCCACCACTCACACTTCCTCTGTGCTGACAGGACAGTAATGAGTAGAAGAAGAAGCACGCACACTAGAATTTGCACACTCTACTTAACTATATAAGTACACAAGCTTTCTTAGACCTTCAGGGCAGAAAGAAGTCAAGAGGATTCTTGTGAATAAACGTTCCGGTACCAAAAAACCCCATTAAAATGGAAAACAAGAGATACAAAGTTTAAGGAGACATTTGAATGTGAGGACAAATTTGGGGTTAAAATGGCAGGTGAGCACAGTGTGAAAAGTAAAGGAGGCAAATGCAGGTCAATGTCTCTAAACTGTTACGCGTGTTTATAGCTTTACCCTTTGCCTTCGTCTTCTCTTTCATATATAATATATTCAGCTAAGGGCCGCTTTCTTTGAAACACGCAACATCATCAACTTTTGATTTTTACGCAGCCAGACTTATTTTTAGCTATGTCATGTGCCTGGATCTCAGGAAATGTATTTGTGAATAGTTATACTTACTAATAGAAATATAGAAAATAAAACTAATCTGATGATCTACTCAGACTCATTTCAGACTTTGTTGTTGTGGACTCTGGAGGTCTGCATCACTGAAGGTCAGCTTCTCTTTCTAAAGAATGTGGGGTTGATAGATTCTGCAGTTTCATAAGAGACATTATCTCCAGTGCTAGTAGTGACCTTGTTGCTTGAGCAAACCTGTTTGCAAGTATGTGTGCGTGTGTGTGTGTCAAACTCACTCTTCTCATGTAAATGAGTAATGCATGAGCTTGTTTGTATGTCAGCACAACACAGTGACACTCTGGGCCTCCCCCCTCCCTTCGATCTCTCCCCCTTCCCTCCCTGACTCCCTCCTTGTGTGGCCCACAGAAGGTAATTCATATTCATTAGCGATTATGGGGAAGATGATGTGTGCACTGAAGTGTGCTCTACCTGCCTGATTACCACTTAGAGGGCCCAACGGTGCCAAGGAGGAAGGCCATGGAGAGGGGCCAAGGATGGGGTGAGGACAGTGGGGTGATGGGAAAACGGTTTGAGGAAGGGACAATGGTTCATGGTGGTAATTACAAGGGAGAGATTTGACCAGATAAGCAGTATTATGTGTTGCAAATGAGTATCGGGGAAGGAATCAGTGTGGCAGTGATCTTAGGTGGGGGTGATGGTGGAGGGGAGGGGGGAAGAGCGACGAGAGACAGATGGAGAGGTGTGGGAGACTGCGTGATAAGATCGGTAGCTCAGGGGACTTCACACACACTTTGCACACACTCCTCAGTCGCACGACAGAAAGTGCTCGATTAAATTGTAGCACTGAATATTGAATATCTGGTTTGGATGTCTTACAGCTTGTTGTGGCATATCAGTGTGCGTGAGTGTGCGTGTGTGTGTGAGTATGAGTGTGTGTGTGTGTGTGTGTGTGTGTGTGTGTGTGACCTACCGTAGGGACAGGGAGAAGTCAGAGCGGGTGGCTTGACTGTTCCTCACCAGGTAGCTACACTCTTTACACAGCGTTAGCAGCGACTCTGCCTCAGAACGAGACAGTGATCCGTGGTACCATCTGACACACACAAGTAAGATAAGTTGAAGTTTGATTCCAACATTGACAGCAGTATAGAACAAATTCAGCATTGTGTTTTCAATTTGATTCCACAAGTTTCATGATTTTGGATTATTACTTGAAAATGTTTTCATGGTCACTTTCCTCACACTGTCCTTTGCTGCCTTTAATATAACAGTGCATGTCATGATTTTCTGTCCACGTTGTTATAGTGATTATGCATTAGTATGATGCTTAAGAACAAAATTATATACCAATGATATAATTGCATCCAAGAAACACTCTGGCCTCTATTTTCTGGACAGTAAATTGTTGTGTGCATGTTATCCCATCTGTGCTGGACTGGGACATGAAAATAGAGGTCTGAACCACGTATTATAGCGATGCATTCAGCTGTTCATGATCCAGATGTTGGACCAACCGCCAGACAAACATCACCATGGCTACACCTTATGTGGGGCTAAAAAAAGTGTTTTGCTAAGAAGTATTGAGGTATAAACAAAAGACAAAACCATCACAGCCAATTGTACTGAGTGCTACAGGTTGACGGTGACGCTGTTTCTTTGTTTAAAACAGGAGGATACCACAAAGCTCATAACAGCCCTTAAGAGATCATCAGGGAGTAATGGGGCATAATAATTAACTACCATCCTCTAGTGAATATATGCACACGTGTGTGTTTGTGAGTACAGTTTTGTGTGTCGTGTGTGTGCACGGAGCATGTGTGCTTGGATTTCATTAACAAAACAGCCCATTAAATGCCCAGAAAGAGAAACATAAATTATACCAATGATGTCTGAAATTACAAGACCACAGTTGATGTGTGTTTTTAATGCTTCGACTTAATTAGTTCTCCTTCTAACCTTTCGTAGCTCTGATGAGCGCTGCTTAGTAGAAGCACATGTCGGTTTTGCTTTAATGTGTCACATTCTCTTGTCCCTCAAGGACACCAAACCTCTTTTATACAAATACATGCATGTACAGGATATCTGCACAGAGGCATTAGCTTTGCTTTTCCCTAATTCTAAATAATAATAATAATAATAATAATAAACCTTCACTGCTCCAGTCAAGAGATCTGGCTTGTAACTCATTGACATGGAACATCCACACACGCCTTACTCTACTTGGATTATACCATATGCACATATTCAGTCTTGCACAGCATTGTGGGTATTTTTGATGTTAGTTAATATCAACAACAATACTATTACTGCTGTTTTTCATCTAAGACAGTGCAATTTCTTTATCCCATATTATACTTGAGGTAATTTAATTAATGGCAACAGGGGTATGCAATGATTAACTATCAAGGTCAGTGAATATCAAATCATGTAAGCCTTTTAATCTGATTAAACTTTAAACAGTATGATCTGTACTCAGTTTAATGGCGAGTGATATATGTTTATGTAGCTGATATTGGTTTAGCAGAAACTGTATACATACACCTGCTTTTCCAGGGGAACAGTGGCGTCCACTCTCTCCCCCACCATTGTCAGGCCTTCCTGTGGCATTCGGAACTTCAACCCCCCTCCTGCCAGCGGGCTCGACCTCGGAGGACGCAACCGTTCTGTGGGCGATGAGGAGCGGTCCCAGTCTGCGCCGTCAAACTGCACTGTTGGCAGACAAGAGACAGAAAAAGTGAGTCACCGTATTTGCACAGTGCTGTGATCAAAAGGGATTAGAAACCCCACAGCCAGATTTGGGCACACATCATCAACCAGGCTATCGCAAAAAACACACGTGCAACAGAGAGAGAGAGACCACTCGCAACTAGAGGACAGCAGGTCCTGCTCTGACAGATTGCATCAGCATCATCGCAATTACCATCATCAACATTTTTATGAATCTCCCATAGCAGATAGAGGCATGAAGTTGGCGTCGTCTCTGCCTGGCTCTGGCACACACAACCTCCAGGAGTCGACAGCATGGATTACGACACTAATTCCATTCTGCAGCATATCACATGTGAAGAGTGAAGTTTTCATCACTGCCTAGTTTGGTGACATCCAATCTGCAGTACTTGTAATTAAACATTAAATGTAACTGCAGCTGGACTGATATGAATAAGGCAGACATTCCAACATACAGGGAGCTAGATGTGCATGGTTGATAAAATAATGTGGGGGGGGTATTGTAAGAAGGGAAAGCTTCAAACCCGAAACAAAAATGAGTGCAACAGGGAGAGACAGATGCAGGTGGTGCAGATGAAGGCCGCTGGGAGTTCAGGGTGGAGGTAGAGCAGATGTAGGACAACAGCTTGGGTCACAGAGGTCAGCGTGACTGCATATGTGCGTGTATGGGGTGATAACGGTTGGCAAGGCAGGGGAGCGAAAGGGGAGGATGGTGGTGATGGTGTTCAGGGTTAGAGGTCACCTTGCTCTCTGACGGGGGGCTCCTCCTCCAGCTGACCCACCGGGGCAGGCCAGGGCAAGTCCGACAACTCCCTCATTTCTAATAGAGGTGGGGGAGAGCGGGGAGGAGGCGGGAGAGAAAAGGGAGTGAGAAAACGGCAGATGGGTTTGAGCAAAGTTAAACAAAGTGAAGATATGCAAGAGATAGAAAAGTGGTGGTGATGAATTTGGGTGAGAGATTTCATAATGAGGAGTAAGTGAGAAGTGCGATGTGGAAAAGGTGGAAGACAGGGAAGCCCTATTGAGAGTGACAGACACAGCCTGTGTGTGCAGATGACAGGGATGTGGTGTCAGGAAATGTGGTTAGCTATACCTCCTGTCTCCTTCCTTCATCACACAAACTCAGATTGTGTATTTACAGGAATTTATCATAAGACTCAAGAAAGCAAAGAAGATAAGATGCAGGAGAAGTTCAGTCATCTGAACAGAATCCGCTTTGAGTCTCGTGGTGGTCGACGCTTTGAAAACAAAATGTGACTTTGTGTGCAATGCGACCCACTGCACAGTGGGACGGCAAAAACTGAGGAGCTTGGGGGCAGAATAATGCTTAGTTCTCTGTCCTGCCTACGGTGAGAGAGCATCAGAAAGTGCGCTGTGGGTCGGAACTGAAAATAGCTCATTTTCTACCATGGAGGGCAACCATCTCATTTAACAGTCATTATTGCAGCCTAACACACATGCACAGACCCATTCACAGCAGAAAGGGATTACAAAACAAATAAAGGGAAAACAGGGGTGATGTCTTAATGAGCCGACAAATCCAAAGACCCCCCAAGCCCGCAACATCAAAAGCCATTTGAATGGGCGTTTGGAGAGAGACCCGGGTTGTACATACATGCCTTTCTCCCTCCCTGGTTAATTATTGAGCAGGCAGACACTCCGCCACTTTCTCTGGCTCTCAATGAATAATTGATGCATGGCGCAGTACAATGGCCCCATCTGGAGCGGGCTGCACCTCCGCCGAAGCCAGGATTAAAGTGTGGCCTGGCATCCCTCAATGACAGACATGCACGCAAATGCACAAGTCCACAAAACCCACACACTAACACACACCTGACACCCTAAAACACCATCAGTGCCGCACTCGGCTGCCTGTTCGCTCACCACCACGACATTTCACACCTCTAGTTCTCAAGCAAAACTGCGAAAGACGAGTGGAAAGATATGGGGGTGTAAATGAGAGGCTCAGTAACATGTGAGAGGAAACAACCAAGATAATTTATTACAGGTCAGAAATGTGCTCAGCCATCTGAGCGAGGGATAAGCTCAGGTTGAGCTGCATTGTAGAAGGAGAAGAAAATCCCATCAAGATTCCTCTTCCTCAGTGTTTGGACAGCTGTAGCAAACAGCCTGTCTCGTAAAAGAAGAAATCTACAATAGAAGTGAGAGTACATCAGTTGTTTCCACAGTCTGAACCCATTTGTAGAGTTTTCTTTATTTTAAAGGAAACTATTTTCAAATGAACTGTGAATCTAAGCCACTGGCTATTTATATAGATGGACGACATGAATGCTAAAGAATCTTATTTGGTGGCTGGCTGCAGTATAGGTCATAAACCCCGCCTCTCCTGAGTTAGTGGATGGGACATGGACCAAACTGAAAAGGCAAAGTATCTTCTTTTCAAAGATGCTTTCTGTCAATTTAGGTAACGCTGATGTATGTTAAAGGGTTCATTTTGTCTGGTAAGTTTGGTTTTAATTTGTTATTGATACCGAAGCTCCATCCCCTGATTGCTAACTGCAAAGACTCTGGCTCCAAATGTGCAAGATGGCAGCATTCGTATCTGGCACACTTGGGCTTAGTTTCTGGATAGTGGAAGAACATGGAGACATGTCAACCATCTTCATATACAGTCAATGATCTTAACAGATGTTTTAGGAAACAAAGTAAGTTTCGTCCACATGTTCTTGATCAACTGATAAGTTTCAACTTTACTCAATCGGTAAAAACGTTTCTAACACGAAGAGTACAACTGAAGTATTGTTAAGTTAATGGATAGATAGATCTCATTGATTAAAATCCCTTCTCCATGTTCTTAACTCACTGTCAGAGTTTATCAGATCTGTATGAACACATCAGTTTCACATAGATTTAGATTAAATTAACATATGCTCCCTTTGATTTAAAGGGAAATCCTCCTAAACCTGCAGAATCTATTCTGTTTGGTTGTCAGAAACTTGCTCTGCCTGAACTGCAAAAGACACACATAGACAAACACATAGACACACACAGACACAGAGACACACAGACACAGAGACACACAAACACGCACGCACGCACACACACAAACCTTTTAAGAGCTGCTCACACTGATAACAAAAGGTTGAATGCCAAGCTAAAACCCACAGAGATTCAAACATACCCATTCGAGCAAGGACACATTATCACACCATGTCACTTATTCACGAACAGGGAACATCTGGCTTCCATTCACTCATCACAGGAACCTGTGGAGTTGTCATACACAGAAGGCTGTTAGTGCTTTTGTTTGCCAGAACTAGACAATGACACACTTAATAGTTTACGGTTAAAGAAGTGGTCACATCTACGCCCACTCTGTCCCCCATAATAACCCAACTGATGAAACAGGCGACAGCAATTTAATAAATGTGTGGTCTCATGTGCCTCAACTACCTGCTAACAATTATCTGCGGAGGGCAGGGGGTGACCAGATAAGTTTTCCTCTCTGGTGTTGCACAGAGCTCAAATTGCCTTGGGTGACAGATAACTGACTTTTCGAGCACATCAGCTGTTTACGGTGTCCTCACAATAGAGGAGGAGCCGACAGAGACAATTGCACAGCTTCATTAGCTCCATTAATGAGAACATCTGTTCTTCAAACAGCCCCGACGTCTCGTCTTCATTCTGCACACAAAGAGCTTCTGCTGAGGAAAAATGGCTCCCATAAGGACAGACAATTAACACCTTATGCCATCACGCCAGTGCAGGGTAGAAAAACAAAACAAAACATGCATTCACACAAGTCCCCCTTTCAAAATGAAGATCCACTCCGTTTTGATTTCAATCTTAGGAGCATCACACATTCACCGAGCATCCTTTGTGTACACATTTTCTCAGAATTCATTACATCCATTTCCCCGAGGCTTGTATTGAACCTCCCTCTATATTCATCTTCCCATTTTCACCTAAGTGGGGCATTATCTCTCTTTCCATATTCCCCGGCCCCTCTCCAGTTGTGCCCTACTCTACTTCCATCATCGCTCTGACCTGTCTCTCATATTGGCTGGCAAGAGGGAATCACGGAGGACATGACTTTTCATTTATGTCAGGTAAGGTTCACGCTGAAGGAGGGAGAAAATCAGCGAGGAGGAAAGTGACAGAGAAAGTGGAGGCAGGAGTGAAAGAGAAAGAGAGACTGAGAGGTAGATAAGAGTCCTTCCATTGTGCCAGTAAATTGATGAAGAGACTGGTCAGATGTCCCCAGGGTCTGCTTAGAGCAACAGAGAGCAGCACCACACCACAAATGGAAATCTAATTGTCTTTTTTTCTTTCTTGTCTGCATGCACACACTAACATGCTTTTATAGGACTCCTACAGGGACACACAAACACCCAGAATAGCCCAGGAAAGATGTCAGAGCACATGTGTCCAGACATCCAGACACAGCACAAATAGGCTGTCGACCATCTGCCTTTGCAAGGTTTGCTCAACTGAGGCAGTGCATTGGCAATCATTAAAACTTTACAGCACCCTTTAGCATCTACGTTAACAGTATTATTTTCCAGCAGATGGATAAAGCAATCTAACGTCATTCGACTTTAAAAGTATTTCTTTACTTTGTCCAAAAGTATCTATAATGATAAGCAAAACATTACTTGAGTCCATATTTCTTTGTTTTGCTGGCTGATTTATAAAAAAGACTGTTAGGCCATGCTAGCACATTTGTGAGGCTACTGAGGCACAGCGGTGCTTTGAGCTGAATGCTAATGTCAGCATGCACACAACTCACATGAAAATATTGACATGCTATGTTTAGTAGGGAAAGGTTTACTATGTTCAGCATTTAATAGTGTATATAATAGTATGACATGGACAATGCATCTCCAATTCCTCCCACCATCCAGAACTGAAGCCAAAATATCCCGGATACGAATGCTGCCATCTTGAACATTTGGAGCCTGAGTCTGTTCAGCAGTGATCAGGGGAGGGAACCGCAGTAGTAAGGTCCTGTCAATATGCACACTCAACCAATTGTGAGTCAGAGGCCATCAATCCTAACACTTCCCCCTTGTTTCAATATTCAGGGTTATAAGAACTACTTCAAGTGACAGGATTGAAAGTTGAGGCATCACCAAAGAGAGGTCATTTTACTCACTTCAAAACCATATAATTAGAAAAACCTCACAATGCTACTGGAAGGGAAATGGGTACCAAGGTCAACTGGATTTATCATCAAAGTATCATTAATGTTCTGTAAAATAATATGTTAATTCATCCAGAGAATGGAAACATATAAACATGTTGAACTCAAGGTCGCTGCCATTCCTCTAAAAACAATGGTGACTCAAGCTGCAGGCAGTTCAGTTCGTTTCTTCTAGATGATGGCTACGAAAGGAAAATTAACTACAGGAAGATTTTATTGGCTGCAAAGTATTTAGTTAAACTGCACCTACATCTTCACCGCCCTCTTGCTTCTGGTACAAACCCGTTCCCAGTCCCAGTTCTTCGCTGTTGCCTAATGAGCAGCTGCACTGGAATAAGTGGAGAATAAGTGCTTTGCTCAATGGCACGATAATAGTAATTGCTAGAGGCGGCGATGTTATTCATTCACCTTTCCTCATCCAAATTTCCAGCTGATTTGCGGAGCTCTCATCATGTGTCCACTCCTCCATTGCTCATCATCTAGCTCAAATCAAAAGGCTCAATTCTCTTGAGGTGGACTATAAAACTTTAAAAAAAAAATTTGAAACACCCATTCATCTGTTAATTAGGTGTCACCATCCGAGAGCTAATGAGATGCTGCCTTTCATTAGCTCTCTAGTTGGTGCTGAATTGGCTGCAGGACCAAATCTCGCACTGCTGGACAGACTATTGACTTCCAGGAAATAATGACTGTTGTAATTCAAGCTGGACGCTGGTGACTGGTGACAGCTTTCCAACAGTGTAATTAAAACCCAGCGGACTGAGAGAGACCTGTCACATTTAAATCCTCAGGTACGCTCACACAGCTGGGCCATCCCTATCCAAATATCCCATGAAAATGAATCAACTGCTTTCAAACGCCTCGCGTCAGCAGACAATACTCACCCGATTACATTTAAAGATGGATAATCTGCGAAAATTATAATCAGCTAGATCCTGTTCGGGAGCGCTTACATGAATGAGAGTACGTAAATCCAGATACAATATGATTCAGCCCCACTCCCCAACACCCACACACTCACTTGTGCCGACATGCACACAATCTCCTCTCACCCTTGAATTAGGAGCCTGGTGATAATCACAGTTGGAAAACCTGATTTAAGAAGCTGGGTGAGTGTATGTGTGCGCGTGGTGTGGAGGTGATGACGAGGGGGCTGCTGGCAGATCACAATGCCCCCTTTACCCCCTGCAGCAGGTTATCTGAGTGAGTGTGTCACATCCGCAGGGAGGGAGGGCTGCGAGGACAACGCTGTCACCGCCGCTGTGCTGCTGCTGGTGTGTGCATGTGGCAGAGTGTGTGCCTGTGTTATAGGATGACTGATTGCACCTTGCTACAATGGCCCTGACTCCCCCCCTCACTGTTCACCTCACCACAGCCCCCCGACCATTAATTCTCCTCAACACCCCTCCCCTCCACAGCTCTGGGCCTCCACAAACATCCATTGAGCTGCCACCATATACGCCATAACCTTGGTGCCCCATTCTCTCTCTCTCTCCCTCTCTCTACAGCTAGCTTCCTCTTCAGCATCTCTATCCATTTTTTTCAACCCTCAGTCCTCCTTCCCATCTCTTTTTTTTTAATGCCCACCGTCCATCTTTTCCATCGCTCTTGTTTTTCTGCTCTGTCCTCGTCATCTCTTCCCTCCCCTTTCATGTTGGCCGTGCCTAGCAACGCTGAGTGGGCCTGGGAATATGGATTAAATGTGAGAATGGAAAACATTGTTTGTGTGTTTATACTTCAGCGCTCCAGCCTGCGAAGACAGACAGCACGACAGCTTATAGTGCTGATTCCAAATGGGAAAAAAACACAGGGTCACACAACTTCAGCCTCACAGGCGTTTTTCTGCCACTGTGTCCTCTAATGGTGCCGCAAGCAGGAGTGCATACTGCATGTGGCACAAAGACGAGATGCTTGAATGCAAAGAAAATAACAGACAAAGCAGGAATAAGTGCTGCAAGTAGGTGAAAGGTGATATTGGCTTTTAAATTAACTGCCGTGCATTTCTTTTTGAAACTCTGCTCTAAAATTATTTACGGTGTCCCTGTGCTGCTTTTTCTGGTTTAACGCGATTCGAGGATGAACATGGTGTAAAATGATAGGTCTATGTGAGTGTGAGTGTGTTCAGACTATTGTGTGCTGACCATGACTCTCTTATTAGCACCGGATCAGTCACGCACATGTAGGCATGTAATTAACTGAGAAGAGAGGGGAGGGGCACACGTAGGAGGGGGGAGGAGGGGAGCGAGGCTGATTTATTATCCCATCACCTTGACCTTGGTGGCTTGGAGATGCAGCTCAATTAAGCTGACTTGGCCCTGCGTGCCTTACAGTGATCCACTCCTAAATGACCCATCAGTCTGTTACGGTTTCTCTTTACTTCCACTTCACTCTCTCTCCCTCCAATTACGCTCGGTAGATGGAACGTAAGAAGATGGGATGTGACATTAACTCCCAGCGCAACTTTAAAAACAATAACCATAAGCCAATTATTTCTAAAATACTGCAGATAAAACGGTACTTCCCATAGAACATCCCGTGCTCCTCCACTGTCAACTTTTATGATATCAACCCAGCAAATCATAAACGAGTCGTCTCTGTCAGTTCTAATCATCTCCAAGGTTGTTGTGACAGTGGTGTGGCATATGTGAGAGAGGAAGAAATCAATAGTCGCCAGTAGGTGTTTAAATGTAGTAAAAGAGACAGAGAGATGGGTGTCATTTGAGCCGGTGAAGGTCACAGTAGTCTCCTTTTCTGGCAAAGAAAAAGGCTTTGGCGATGTAATGATGAAACATTAAAGGTCAGGACAGGCAGAAGGACTGTAATCTTGGAAGGGCCTTTAAAGGGAGCCATTTTGTGTGCTATGGATCATTTTCACTAAACCTATTTAATGATTCCGCTTTAAAAAAAAGCTTTGAGGAATTTGTGTTATTCCTCATCTTTGATGCTTGGTAGGTAGAAGCTCCAGAAGATATCCAGGAAAGACAACGGATGATTTTCAATAAGAGGGTTTAAGGATGGATCTTCAGTTAAAAATCCATTCCCTGCACACTCAACACTCTGAATCTCACATATGTGCTGGAAAACCCAGAGTATCGATTCATTCTGGAAATTTGAAGCCAGAAGAGCCCGCAAAAAATGGTGTGTGGTTTAGACGATTATGTGATTCTCTACCTTCTAAAGCTTTTTAAAATATTAAGTAAATCATTCACTTTAAGAAGCATGATTTAACAGTTCCAAAGCAAAACACATTATTTTGTGTAGTTTTGACATTTTCCCTGTCTGAAAATCACAAGCAAGCACCAACGATATCTGTGTATCATTCGTTCTTTACTTATTTATAAGGGGAATCCATGTAATCCACAAAACGTAGAAAGAAAAACGTGATTTGCTTCGTTTAGATTTCACTTTCACTTATTCATGCACACATTCAAACTGTGCTACATGCTCCTTTACAGTCACAATACCATCACAATGTTTCTGCTTACCTGCGAAAGCTTTGGAGATGTGGTCCTTCTTCCACTCCCAGGGTTGGTCGTACTCGTCAGCCGGCCTCTCGTCATCCTGCGGCAGCCTGCTGTTCTCCTTGCCCTCATCCTGAGCTTCTCCGTACACAAGGCCCAGTCGCTGTCCTCGCTCGTCGTCATAGGGAGTGTCGTAGAGCTGCACCCCGCCACGCACCCGTCCTCCTCCCGGGCCACGCTGCAGCTCTGTTAGACCATATGCAAAATAAAACACAATAAACCAAACAGACAAACACGCAGGCATGCATGCAAACATTCTGAGATTTGTCTCATGTGTCACCTTGAACCGCTCTGTGAGAAAAACAGAGAATATTAAGAGATAATATTTGCCAGCAGTGATGAGGTTCCTCTTCACACAGGACTCATATTATGCTGCACTACAAAGCAAAACAAAAAGCCTGTTGAGCTCTGACATGACTAGAATTAGAGTGGAGAGACAAATGATGTTTGCACAGCTTGCCGTGAGCTTCAAATCTCATATGTGGGGGCTTAACAAGGCCTTGGGCTAGATGCTGAATAGCAACACGGTAGCCAACCCACCCCCCTCCTCCTCTTCCATCCTGGACCCCAGCAGCAATCTAGCATGGCTCACAACAGCGTTCATGTTCCCTCGATAACATTTTCATCAATTTCTCAGTGGGTTCGGCCGAGGGATGCTCCTCAGCATCTGACTGTTACGTGGAGTCAAACATGGTCGTGAGATAAGAGGAGATTATTGATGCAAGCTAGATGATGAAATCTGATTTGTGAATGCACCAATAGGAGCCTGTAAGCTGCAGCAGCAATTATTGATGACGGCCTGATAGGTTGACCTGTAAAATATCCCCTTTAAAAATAACAGGTGGAAGAGAAAGGGGGAAAATGGGGGAAAATGAAAGAGAATGCCTTTTCCTTTTCCACAGCCATCAGCCGCGCAAAGGAGGTGCACTCAAGTGAGAGCTGAACACAACTAAATGGAAATATTCGCTGGCGAAAAGTGGGAAAAACTTTAACCTTCACACGACAAGACACCGTTATTGGGCGGCCCTCTAGTCACCATGGCGACGGAGTGGAGACCCTGGGGAAAGTCCCTGAGGCTAGAAAGGAGAGGGTGGAGGGGAAATGGAGTGAGGAGGAGGAGGAGGAGCAAGGCGAGGGAGGAGGGAAATAGGAGAGTGAGAGGATGTGGCGGGGTGAGGAGCAGCAGGAGAGGGAAGAGGAAAGGGAAGCAGTGAGGAAACAAGGGGAGGAGGAGGAGGAGGACGGGAGGGGATGCAAAGTCTGTCAGCGTTTGATGTTAAGCCATTGAGACAGAAGCACAGCGGGGCTGAATGCTGCTCTATACCTGCGCTGGGAACCCGCGGTGTCAGCGGTAGCCTGCAGATGGAGAGGATGAAGGTGAAGAGATAAAAACTGGCGTGGAGGAAATAAAATGAGAAATTCATAGGAAATCATGATGGAGGAAAAAAACAACAGAGGGGGGTGAAAATAGCAATTTGCCAGAAAGGTGACAAAGAGAGAAGATTGAGGGGAATGACGACAGGGAGGGCAGGGGAGTGTTTAGGCATACAGATGTGAGCTGGGCCTGGAAACTGCGACCAGATTGAGGCGTGTTAACATTCAAACTCATAAAAGTGCAGGCTAAAAAAGTGCACAGGTGTCTTTTCAGGACAGGCTTTGTGACAGAGAATCACTATTCCGATCCCACATCTGTCTGTGACGCTCTGCCGTGTTTATTAATGAGCAGAAACAGCCTGACAGGCAGGCAGACAAAAGCAAGCAGACACTCAGTTCTGGAGTGACGGCCTCAATTCAAAGTCAATGAAAGAACTGTGACAGTGCTGTGCCAAACACTCTGCCATCACCGCTGTGAATCCAATTTTTCCAATGGCTTCATCCAGGCGCTGCAAGGAAAGATCTTCTTCAGCGTTTCTCTATTTGGGCATTGGTAAAGGGATGCTCCGATCATTTACGCCCGATATAATGGACGTCACATGACTAACAAAAAGGTAGCACGAACGGCAATGGGCGAGTGAACAGGACATAAAATTTGCTAAAGAACAAATTAGAGAGACAGCCAGACTCCCCTCAGGGCCGCGGGGGAGAGCCCCTCGAGATGAGGAGAGATAGAGAAATGGAGAAAGAGGAGGGGAGGAGGGGGAGGCTTTTACACTAAATGACTGGGACAGAGCAGGGAGAACGCGGGGGAGAAAGGGGCAGATAGAGATGTTATGGGGAGAGAGACAAATGGAAAACGATAGATGCGAGCCAGACAACGTGGGATAAAATTGCGAGAGGCGGAGGGAGGGTCTGAGACTGGATAGGCATCTCCGAAGGGCCGGCTCATGATGAATCTAACGCAGGGGAGTCGACAGGTACAATACCCCAGAGCAGAGCTGCCTGCTAAAAATTAAGCAATTACACAGGAAATAGTGGGAAATATACTGCATTTAATGCATGCAGGCTTTTTAGAACAAAGAACTGGAGAATATGGAAATAAAGGAGCATTATTCTGTGAACTACTTCACTACAGAGAAAAAGAAGCAGGAAAAAGAGATATCATGTCGGAAATCCTCTCAATGATTTTAATGAAAGAAATGGCCGACAGACTATGGATCAATAATAATATAACTTCATACCACAGAAAGATATTTTATTCATGATTTTGTGTCTGAAATGCAATTTAATACCTGACAGTGATCCTTATGACAAGAACTGAATTCAACCCTTAAGCATGACCACTCCATCTCATGCAATTCTAATAGATTTTTTAAAAAAAAATTTATTTTCCACATGTATCTAAAAATGAGAAACTGAAACACAAAAAGGAAGCAGTGAAATGAAAGGGTCACTGAACTACTCATGGTCCCTGAGATGAGCAGTGAGGGTCAACTGACCTGTAATAACCCTCTGGGCTTCGTACGGTTCCATGTAGCCGTTGTTCTCGCAGGGAACAGGTCTGAGGTCTGGCTCCAGCCGGTGATCCAACCGAGCGTCGAAAGGATCAGAATAGTCCGTGTCCCCTGCCAGCGGAGCAGAGGGCACCACCTAAAGGACAAAACAAACATACTCATGAAGACAAATGACTTCTGCTGACAGAACACAACATTAACTTGTCCCCTTAGAGAAACCAGGTCCCTCCATTTCTGATTTAATACAGAAATAAAAAATGATTTAAAAATGTTTTGTCCTGCAGGCACATGTGGAAAAAAGAGCTCGCAATCATAGACCGTAGTGGCTTTCATCCAGCATTTTCATATCAGCTTTTTATAAAGAGCACACGCTCTTGAAACAAACACTTGCATAAAAAACATCTTCAGGCATGAATGTTTTCTGATAATTAGGAGAATTTGGTCTGTGTGTATAAATTCTGTTGCACAAACAATACGTCATCAAGACCCTGAGATGGAGGAAAAGTAGTGGAGCACTTTTAACAAGCAATCAGGTCCTTGTGCTGAGAGGCACGTTAAATATACGTCTGGTCACAGACAAAATGCTTTTGGAGTATCATCAACAGACTAATTTGCACCTTTAGCGTGCAACATCACAATACCAAAAAAATGCTATTTAGAAACCACGCAAGGTGGTACTTGAATCAAAGGCGTAAAGAATGAACTACATTGAGTCTTAAGAGGAGAATGCAACATAGTGTAGCCGCCCTGTCTGAGGATGATCCATTTTTGGGAGGAGTAAGAGGAGCTGCTTGGTTGCTCAGGAGGAGCATTTGTTCTTTTATGCAAGCACAGGAGGAACACAGTGGTCATCTGGCACACTGACAGCTACACAGGCAGCCATATGGTGTCTTTCTCTCTCTCACACACACACACACGTATATAAAAATACACAAACACACACGCACTTGTGCACATAGACACAAACACATTGGCACGCTTCCTTTCGCGCTCTCCTCCTCGCACAAAGAAAATCACCCTTGCAAGGCTTTGCATCCCAAATTCCTTCTAAACACGCATGCTTCACAAAATTACATCCTAATCCCGTGTTGATTCTGTAACAGGTTATCTATCGATGCACGGGAATCTGCAATGTTAATTAGAGTGCGGATGTTCTCACAGACCCTGGGAAATTAATGAGCGCAGGAGGAGAGTTGGGTATAGAGGAAGAGAGAGAAGGGGGGGGGGGGGGGTATTGACTTCAGTTAAGACTATTACTTCAATCCACTTCAGGCCTTTTCGCACTTGTAGCATTTTCAGTGAGTGGAGTCATGGATTTAACTGCAGGGATGAAAAAACACTGACATGCTCCTTAACTCGCTCAGCATATGTGAGGTGAATTCATGTGCAGACTATTTCCTTCTGAAACCTTATAGCTTCTTCTCCCGTCGCTCTCTTGACATCTGTTTGCCTCCCCCCCCTTCTCAGTGGCCGTGGATGTTTTATACTGCACAACATTGATAGTACATACATTGATAGCAGCCCTGACGACACCAACAGCCCCACAGCATAAATTACACTCCCCTCTGGCCCGTGACACATAACTACATATTTGGCGTACTGTATACGGCCCCTGACATGTGCTCATGCGGGGGTCTCTCTCAGCTTGCAAAACCAAACCCCATTTATTATTTATGGAAGGACATAAACTCAGGGGACAGCGACCCTATCTGACTCAACGGTCCACTCAAGCCATCAATAATTTTTCCCTCCATCTATGGAAGCAAGTTTATGTGGCGCATGGGATGTAATGTGATTTATGTAAACAAAGCGTATTTGTGACACACAGTACCAGACACTTGCTTATGGAATCTGGTCAATAAAGCTGTCACGGCTATGGGAATGTGATGAGAGAGTTTTTTGCTTTCCTTTCATCCCTCTCTCCTCCTCTCACTAATTTGTCATCACTTGCTTTTTTTGCTCTGAACAACTACAAAGATGTGAAGAGAGATAGAGGCTCTTACAGGCTCTTGCTGGTCCTCTAAAGAGACGGCACTGAGGAGGATCTTGGTGCGCCCAAGCTCCTGGGAGTCCACTTTGATCAGTCTGTGCTTGGGGGACTTCACGTCCACGCTGGACGACTTCATGGGTGACCCGTACACCGGCGTGGCAGGGTCAGACGGCCCGGACTCGCCCCTGGGCCTGCTCTCTGATTCCTCATAGGGATCCTCGAAATCCAGGTCCCTCTGGAGCCGGTACGCTTTGAGGATCTCACTCTCAGAGTAGTCTGGTGTGGGCGGCTGTGGAGGCACCTTCCTGCTGCCAAAGCTCAGGTAGTCTTTCAGCCACTTGGCCATCGCTGCTCGTTTTCCAAACAGCGCCTGTGTGTGATGGAGGGAGAGAGACAGAGAGCGGGAGGCTGCAGAGGACAGGGACAAACAAAAAAAGGGGATGTTACTGTCTGACCTTGTTTCTCGTGGTCCTGCTGGAGCTGTGGATTTGATTTGTCAGTTCAAAGATTAAAAATAAAAATCAACTCTTGTTTATGCTAAAAAACAACATTAATCCACATGCTCCCGATCCTCTCATAAATATTCAGACTGGACAACTTTTTCTGCGGCCATGGGCCCACAATCAACGTGCACTTCACATGCACTGGAAGTGACATGAAACTGCACCAACAGCTGGGCTTTAACGCTCCCCCCTTTTGTTTTACGCAGGGAGCTGGAGCATATATAGCGACGGGCATCTGGACTTTGCCCAAAGGCTGGAATTGCATTTCACAACCGTGCAATAAAATCCGACGTTAAAACACTGATAAAAAAAGATACAGAGGTAGACAGAGACTGGGGGGGGTAATGTGGAATCACATAAATAGCCAAGAAGTTTAGTTTAATTTAAAGATCTACATGTATTTTTCTCTTGTTCGTTCATCAGAATCAAACCCAGTAAGTTAATAAGTAAGAGGACACACTTAGAGCAGTAAAAGCAAATTGAAATAAGCAGTTTTACTTGTACTTCTCATGGAGACATTAGGATTCAAACAGCAGAGAGCTGATGCGCGCTGAGGACACACTCACCTACTACCCTAGTGCCACTTTGGATGCTTTACTCCGCGTTTCTTCATGGCGCTGACATTGAAACGACACAAAACCTGCCTCATTCCACAAAAGGAACAAGAGGGAGAAAAATAACCAGCAGCAGCGTCTCTGGAATAAAAGAAAAAACACGAGCAGTGACACGAGCTCCTCTTTACTCGCTGAAGGCAAATGTGCGAGTGAAGCGAGCGACTCTTCAGCTCCGACAGCCGAGCG